AGGGGGACAGGGAAGGTGTTTTAAGATTTTATTTTAGTTCTCTTCTACTCTGATTCAACTGGTAATAAATTAGTTTTCCCTAAGTTGTTTTGCCTGTGACAGTAATTGCTGAGTGATCCCTCCCTGTCCTTATCTCAATCCATGGTCCTTTTGTTCTATTTCCTCTCCCCTGCCCAGCTGAGGAGGGCAGTGATAGAGTGGCTTTGGTGGGCACCTGGCATCCACAGACAGGGTCAACCCACCACAGGCATGGACAGCATTAAGTGTGTGTTAGGACACAGAACCCACCAGTCTGCACTACTGGAACCCAAAAAGTAGCACGCATCCCCTCCTCCACGCAAAGCTACTCTCTACATCCTGGGCTCCACCCTGAAGCGCGGCAGGCAGGGTGAAGGAGCTGAAGCCTGCTCCTGCTTTGTGCCTGTCAGGCAAAAAGATGCTGAAGCGTCCATGGTTGCCATAGGAGTACGGGCGGCCAGAGCTGGAAGCTGGCAGCGTAGAAACTGCCTTCCTGTACAGCTACTACAAACCACAAAAGATTTTAAAAACCCTAACATACAGGCCTCCTGCACCCTGTGTTTTAAGACAAATTGGTTTCATCTGCTACTAGTCTCACAGGCTTTCTGCCAGTGTCTCCTAAAACCCTGCAGTGTACACAGTGCCTGTTTCTAATGCTGTGCTGCTTTTCCACCGAGAGCAGAATTTTGTATGACCAGACACAGAGCAGGCTGAAACCTGGGGCCTGTACTCACACATTCTCAGTACTAACGCATGTTGCATTGTGTCAGGACCACATACAGTAGGTAAAGTTGTACCCACTAGTACGTAAATCAAATTAGCTAACTTCTTGTATGCCTGTTTTTAAAGGAAGCACAGGAAGCATGCTGTCAAAGTTCACACCTACCTTTTCTCTGTCATGTCCTGGCCAAACGAATCCTGGTCAGTCCCTGAATTTCCACAAATAAAAGCTTTCAACAGCAGAGAAGAGGGGAGAAAAACAGAAATGGGCTCTTACAGCTGTCAGAAAAGTCCAATAGTTTACACTAGCTGAGATGCAAGGAACAAGTATAGATTAACAGCACCTCTTGGGATATCCAGGAATCAAAAATATATTAATTCATTTTCATCAAGGCTTCCCTCTACTGAAGAGTGATTTCCTTCCGACTCCCTTCTCACACATAAGAACAGAAACAACCCCAGTGAAGTCTAGGGAATTACACTATACTGCTATAAAGAAGAGGATAATCAGACCCCTCTACAGTTCTCTCTCAGTCCTCTGACACTGTGCCTTTCTCTTTTCATCGTGAACAGAGATAAGCCTCTTCAATAGGTAAATATGGGAGGAGGAGAAGGGAGAGGATGGCCCAAGGGCAGCAGAAGTTGATAGAAAAATGTCACTAGGAGCTGAGCAAGCACACAGGACGGGACATGATGCACCGGAAAGATATTTTATATGACTTGTGGGCTTTGGAAAAATCCTCTATTAGTTTTTGACTTTGCTTCTATAATTACAAATAAAACCTTTGGCTAGACAAGCTAGAAGAAACTCAAGTTTTTCTTACTTGGGAAGTCAATCAATCTACCTGGTATGTACACTCCCTCCCTTCAAACAAGCATGGTATGACACCACAGAACTGTCTCCAGACAGGGTATCCTCCAATATTTCAAGTTTACTTTTCATCCCTACATGAGCCTTCTCACCAGGAAATACTCCACATGACCCCAAGGCTCTACTACAGCCTCTTGTAGCCCTGGGAAAAAAAAAGAAATCAAAAAAAGAGAAAGGAAGGTCACACCCTCGAGTGATCCCATTTGTCCAAGTTTAACCTAAGTGTGGCACTCTGCCCCAGATACAGAGGACTCAGTCCTGCAAAGCCTCCCTATTGTGTGTATTTGTTTATTACCTTCAAGAGGCCATGGACACAACAGGGCTCTATGCCCTGGCCAGACACATGCTCTCATTATAGTGTACAGGAGCAGTAAACAACTAAATGAGCAGGTCTACAGAAACACAATGGAAGAGAGAAAATTAACTTCCAGTCCTCTAAAATAAACATGCAGGAGGAAAGTGAAAAGGCCTAAGATTTAAATGAGCTGAAGAAGCCCATAGCTTCAAGTTCAGTCTCAAAACCTGGGTGTGAATTGCAGTAAACATCTTCCAATGACCTTCACAAGGAGGTCATCTGACGACATACACTGAAGTAAGGGCCGCACTCAACTAGATCGTACCAACTGTCCTATGATTCACAGTAAGTTTGTTCCCAGCACACAAGGAGAGCTCAAGAAATTCTGAGGAACAACAAAGCCACAAGAAGAATGATACCACACTCTTCCTGAAAGAAAATGCAGCACAGTTGCACCTAGTATTAATAAAATCAGCCAATAACTTCCTCAGGGCAAAGCACATACCAAGTGAGTTAAAGGATACAAATACATGCACTCTTCTTCTGCGAGATTATACTCCACCCTGGCCATCTCTCCAGCTGTCATCACGTCCCTACACTCTCAAAAGACTTTGGGAAGCAGTAGTCACGGAGTTTCAACCACAGGTGTCATCAGGAGCTACCTCAGGTGCTTTACTTACAACCCTGTTTCAAAGCACAGCGAGAAAAACCCAGAGCCATACATGCTCTGTCAAACAAGAAGATGGTTGGCAATACTGTAGCTGCAGACATTTCTTGCCTCCAACAGAAAGATGGTGGTAGGAAATTACCCTGCTCTTGCAGGACTGCTGCGGAGCCCTGGAGTGGTGCAGCTGAGGTGATAGCCTACTGGTGCTGAACAGACGGGAGAAAAGAGGGAAAATGAATCTTGAAGTAAAGAGGAGGATGCACGCAGCGGAGGGCTGAGGGAGAAAGTTAAGAGAAGTGAAGAATGTGGTGAACAGACAGGCTGTATTGAGCAAATTTTTATCAGTACAAAAGAAAACTGATACTTAATACTACATTCCCCATGGAATCAAAGTTAATTGGGTTAAAGGTTATGGGACCAGGGAGTCTAACATTTTCCAGGGATACTTTCACTAACAATATTCATGGTGATGGAGAGGTGACAAAAAGAGTAGTATGAAAATATGAATTTAAAGTTTGGCATTTATCTTTCACTCACTGTATTGACAAGTAGATTACAACAGGCAATAGAGAAGATGCTGAAACTAGACTAGAATAATACTTTGTTCTCGTTTGCACAGATACAAATCAGGAGAGAAATTAGGTAAGGAAATAAGCTAGTAAGGGTATCCATTCCTGTATGTGTTTATGAGGTGTAATATATGTAATATCCTTTTCCTCTCCAATTACCTATTTTTAGTTTGAAGTGAGCATAGGCTCTTGCCTAGAACGTCAGTGAGTTGTATTTCCTTGTGCCTCCAGAGACACGTATGTCTAAATGCATGTTAGAAGATCGCTTCTTTCCTCCAGCTCTGGAGAACAGAACAAAGATCCATCACCAATTAACACGCAAAACCCATAGTTAGGAGAACAATGAAATGCAACATCAAGCTCACGGCTGATTTTGGTCTCTATTTCAGCAAGTCTGTCAGCAGCAGTGTCTTGTAACACAAGCAAATGATTTTCACCTACCTGAAATTGGCCATTATGTTCGAATTCACTTATCTGGACATAAAAACAGTGTTTGTTTTCTGGAATAAGCTCTTATGTAGCATCCAGATTAGAAAGTACATACATAGTGGCTAAAATTAATTAAAGGCAGTCAATCATCCCAAATTAAACACTCAAGTGAAGATATTTCCAAATACAGCAGCAATAACCGAGTACCTCACAAATGGGGTAGCCTCATGTTAAAAACATAAGAGTGAGAGCTATTAGATCTTAGTTTCCCCTCCTACTTCTGCTGCTTGTCTTTTGCTCTTGATCTTGAGTAAAGTATTTATTCTCAAGACTTACATTTCCCCAGATTCAGAGGCAGTTACACTCCCTGACTTTACAGAGCAGTGTTGCAATAATTAATTCATTATGCTTTGCAGAGCACTCTAAAATTATTAGATGCTGCTGCAGAAATGCCTAATATTAGTGGTAATCTATTACGCTACCATTTCTTAAAATAACTCTATCTGGTATGGATTTATAGTATTCTAAATTCAAGTCAGAGGTACCGTAAGTCTTGGACCAGTACCTTTTCATGGCAGTGTAAACAGAAGGAAAATAATCCAGTTGTGTTCATAACGCAGTTTCTCTTTGCATTGTTCTACCCCCGTAATTTCTTTCAGTACCCTATTACACACACGTTAACCATAACAACAGCAAGCACGTGGAAGGAAAGACCATTCCAGTAAACTCCACAGTAAATGGCAAAGGGTCGTTGTAAGTTCTGCAAATGAAACGTATGGGCTAGCTCAAGCCCCGCTATAAACAGTGACATGACCAACATCATATGCTTCAATGGAAAAATAGTAAAGCAGGATTTTTTAACTGGCTTTTTCAAAGCTCAGCAAGTTTTTGACTCAACAGTTGAAAAGGGCGGCCTTCTTTTAAATTAGGTTGTTTGCATAAGGCTGAGAGGTGTCTCTGATACTCAGAATAAACTGGATCCATTTGCTCATGTGATAACCATACCTGTCACTGAAACTGCTTTTGCTGCAAGTGCAGACTGGACAGCGCTATACAGAAACGAACCATCAGAATTTTACTAGTCTGGGCTGTATCTCTGCTCAGATCTGTGCCAAATTTATTGACACAGCTGTATTTTCAAGACAGCTGTGTCAATAAATTAGGGGTACAGTTACAGATTCCCCTCTCAAACAGCTAACTTTGAGTAAGACTATGTGAATCAGGGTGAAAAGCGATGATAGGTAACTTGGTACGTTATCATATTTGCCTAACGCCAATGACAGGATAAATCAAATTTTTGTTATCTGTGGGAGCACCAGTTTTGAGGGAAACTGTTCTTACAAAGTGACCACATTATTTAATGACTTTTTAAGAGGAGTATTCTACAGTATAGTGAAGCAATACAATTAATACCTCTAAAATCTCCGTTACCTGTTGGTCATCTGGAGTCCATATGCCACAGGTGATCTGACTCTCCAAGTTTATTTCTGAAGACCAGTGTCTTTGTCCACTGACTGAACCAACCAGCACAAATCCGTCTCTGTAGGAGATAAGTGCTTGAGTCCCATCATGGCTCCATGTAAAATCGCTTACCTTAACATATCAAAAGAAAATAGATGTATTAGACATGCAGTAATTTGTAGTTGTTTTAATAAAAGATAGCACTGCACAGAACTAGACAGGGCACCTATTAGCCCAGTTGTAGTTCTGATCTCACAGCTATTGGATAAAACAACTGTCCCTGTCGTGTCTTTGTGACAATTCTTGCACGTTTCTTTCAATAAAGAAATGTTTCGTTGTCTCCTGTGCTTTTCAAGAGGTATAAACCACCACTCACTGTCCCCTTCATTTTGCCTCTCAGGACTCGATCGCGCTCGACTGCAGAGAAAACATGCACACCAACCTGTGCCCCCCGATCATTCACAAGCTCCACAGACCATCTGCCTTCGTATTGTATCCAAACAAATATTCCTCCGTCTGCATCGCAGGTTGCTAATTTCTGGAATGGTTCGTTCCATCTCACCAGCACAACCTTAGGAGATTACAAACAAAACCAGCGTTACCAAAACCACGTGTTATGCTAACAACTATTTAACAAGAACCAGTTAAACAATACTGAAACACAAACATCACTGCATTTAAATCCTAAAGAAGACGTACAAAACCGCGATTTTCAGCACAGCATTAGGCACCTCTCAAGAACAGCTGGAATTGTTTTGTCGTGGCTGGCAGGGAATGCACCATCCCTCACCATCAGGCCTCTCTGGAAGGTGCTGCCTGCTTCCAACACAAACATGCTGTACACTGCAACGCAGGATTTCATTACAGAAGCAGCAAACAGGAGGCCCCGCACACACCATCCAACACTCTCTCAAATTATTTCCCCCGCTGTAATCTCACAGACTGTCAGACTCTGTCAAATCATCACCTCTTACTGACTTCAAATGAAGTTGCATGCACCAGTATCAGTTTGAATTTGAATACTCTTATCAACAGTGACATGAAAAAAAACAAACTAGAGTCCAAATTATTAAAAAATGGACATTTCATAGTAAAGTGGCTTTGCTACCGAGTGCAGAAGGAATACAAAGCAGTTTCAGGCTCTTTCTGCATTAGAACTATCTGGGATTTTCTGGAGAATATAATCAAGTCTAAACCTACAAAATTGCTCCCTCACTTCTATTTAGTATCAATTTAACAAATACAGTATCTCTTGAGATCTCAGTAGAAAACTGAATAAAGCATGTCAGCCTAGTGCTTGAAGCAGAAATCAGCAGTAAATCCATTTACCTCCTGTGAGTGACTTTTTCTTAGAAACTTTTTTTCCAAATTAGTACCATTTCAGAAACATACAGAAGCACATGGGATCCTTACATTCGTACACGAGAAGATTCCCCCCAATTATTTTACTGAGACATCATATGCAAAGAAGACACATATTAAATAGTCTATCAGCAGAGTGTTATTTTAACTCCTTAATGGGCATCCAGCTCTAATGATGCTTTTTCATAAACCTAAATAGATAATTAATCATCTAAAAGAGACAGGAAGAGGAGATTTCCTGAAGTATATTTTGCTGTTTACAGAAATGGACCGATCCTCCTACACATTCCAGTCCTAAGAAGAGCTCTGAGTAGACAGACCCTTCACATTTTAGAACGAAACCATTTTCCAAATTAGGATATCAATATGCATACCTGAAACCTAAACCTGACAGCTGGAGAAGGATGACCTTACACTTGTTTAGGGAGTGCTACGCTTACTCACAGAGCGTCAAGGGTCAGAACCGCAGAACGTGTGCATCAGTGGAGCTTGCCACCCTGAAGCATCAACCCTCGAACAACGAAACAATCACGAGAAAACTGTTTCATCGTGCGTATGTAAAGATTATGGGGAGAAGTGAGTCTGACAAACCACCTCTCTCTTGTTATGCAGCTAAGAAGAATCCCTTTGAGATTTTGTGGAAAAACGCTTGCTTCTACTTGATTATAACCTTGCAGCTGCACTCCACGTCGCTAGTCCTGTCTCCGGTCGAGTAGGTTATATCACACAATACTTTATGCTTTATTGGAAGTGCAGTAAATGTAATATTCCATCACTGTAATACAAGTGGCTGTACTCTGGTAGAGGTTTCACCCTGTCCCTTCCATCCGAACAAGAGCAGCTCAGATTTGTCAGAATTTTGTTTTCTTCTTGGTGTAATGGCCACGCACGGAGCCATCGCTTCATCCACCTCCAGGCAAAATGCAACAACAGAACTGTACTTGCCAGTAATGCCTAACAGTATCATGAAAGAAGAGAAGAAAACCCCAAGGAAAACACTGAAAAATCTTCATCTTTAGCTGCTATGGCTAAGGATGAGTATTAATAGAGTGGAGGGTACTTACCACCACTGAAAAACAGACCGTTAACGCTTACACATGGCTGATGTTGGAAGATTCATAGATTATGCAGAATAAATTGCCAGAGAAAATTTAGGAACAAAAGACAAAACTAATTGTTCAAATAATATGTGTTTTAGCTAACACCATCAAAGGTGCTAATACCTGTCTTAAAATTGCCCTGTTTTGTCTCGCAAAGATTTGAGACAAGCGTATGATTTTACATGTCAGAGATACCAGCTGACTTGATAGAAAAGATGGGCAAAATGACAACAGTTACCTCGATGTGGTTCGCCTCCTTTCTTTTTTAAATAGGAATCTTGTTAAAACTTGAGGATAACTTTTGATTCAAATTCTGCACAACCTGGCTTTTGTCTGGATCTCCTAAAACATCCAAGGGTACGTTTGAATGTAAACTAGATTAACTAGAAACTCTCTCCCAACCATCCCAGTTAGATACTGTGCTGGTTTTAGCTGGGATAGTTAATTTTCTTCACAGTAGCTGGTATGAGGCTGTGTTTGGGATTTGCCCTGAGAAGAATGTTGGTAAGACTAATGTTTTTAGTTGTTGCTAAGGAGTGTTAGTACCAATTCAAGGACTTTTTCTGACACTTCACCTGTGTTCCCAAATTCTTCTCTACAAGAAGCTGGGAGGTGACACAGTCCAGACAGCTGACCCAAACAGACATTTCATGCCATTAAATGTCATGCTTGGTATATAAGTTGGGGGAGTTGGCTGTGGTGGTGGAAATTGCTCCTCGAACACTGGCTGGGCATTGTTTGGCCAGTGGTAAGTGGTTGTATCATTTTGTTTTCCTTCCCTTTTTCCTTTTTTTTTTTAAACATATGATTATCATTAGTAGCAGTAGTAGTATTTTCATTATTTATTATTATTAGTAGTAATATCATTACTTTATGTCATTTACTTTCAATTATTAAACTGTTCTTATCTCAACCCAAAAGTTCTCCTGTCTTTTTTTCTCTGATCCTCTCCCCCATCCCACTGGGGGAGGAAGGAGATGGGCAAGTGGCTGTGTGATGCTTGGTTGCTTACTAGTCTAAGCCACAACAGATAAAAATTAGTAACTTCCAAAATAAAATTACTGCTTTATAATCACAAACGTAAGTGAGGCAATTAATTTATATGCCTTCTGATAACATCCACATAAGGAAGCAGATTTGTAATTTGAAAATTCAGCTGCTTTAAACACAGAGCAGATGTTATCGTTTTATGAGGTCATTTTAAAGATGCTTCCATCATTTACATTTAACATCAGACTACGGGGGTGCTGAGTCCACAGCTGCTTTGAGTGTTTCCAATTTCCTTTTAGAGACCTAACATACTGAAGCAGAGATAAAGAAAGGAAGAAGGATTGCCCTCGGTATCAAAGAGACTCTTGGCATTTATGTTGGTTAAAATGTAAAGCATATGAAAACACGCCCCATTGATAGTGCACTTAAATAACGTGTAAGCTTGAATTACCCCTCTGCAAAGAGGAATTTTATTGCTAACCCATAAACGCAAAGATATCATTACTTTCACTAACAGCTTCAACTCACAGGGGACCCATTTTTACTTCTTTCTTTATGGTTCTCTGCTTCCTACTTAGCGTCTTCACACAGGTACTGAAGTACTAAATCGTTTTATTTTGTACCGAAAGAGCAAAAACCAAAGAAAATTGTCTGTGGACCATTTGTGGTCCACATGGCCTTTTTATATTGCCTAATTATTTTAGTCTGTTTGTTGTTTGCTTGTGGGTTTTTTAATACTATAAAAATCATAAATTGTGTTTTTTCTATTCCGGAAAAAACCTGTATCACAGATGCTAATCAGCTTCTAAACTGCTGTCTCATACAGGAAATGATCTCCCATGAATAAAACTTCAGCGAACTCACAGCCTAAACATATTAAGTACAATGTAAAGGCCAATGTATCGCCCCCAAACAGGATCTTTTTCTTGTATTTTTATACAATGCATAGTGGTGAAAAATTTGTTTGAGAAGTGGAACATTCAGCATCCCCAACAGCTCTGTTTTAACTGACAACTTGATTTTCAGGAATTAAATTTAATTAATCCTAAAGGTGCGAGAAACTCTCCCCAAGAACTGATTGCATACTACAATGCTGCAAACACAGCACAATAAAAAAAAAACCCAACCAACCAAACAAAAACCAAACAAACAAACAAACACTTAAAAAATTGTTTTGTTTAATTAAGAGTATGTGAGGACTTGTTATGCTCAATGTTAAAAAATTTTTGTATGTATAAAATTAAAAGGGAAAATATTGTTAACTTATACTTGGAAGATGAACCCAGGCATTCACTTCCAGTACAACAGACTAATCAAGAAGGAAATAATTTATAACATCTCTCAATTAAAAATGCTGTGCAAACATAAATTATAGTTTATGAACCTCAGTAACGTCCCTGTACTTCTTCACAGATGCTCCATTTGGAAAAGACCTTGTCTTGTGGCAAAGGAAACTTCTGTATTATTCTAACTGAAATAACACAATAATTTGGGAGGTTTCTTTTCAAGATCACTTAATTGTGCTTTAAAAATTCCATTTTCATTCTCTCTAATGCTTTTTGGTCCACTACTGCAAATAACAAAATTAAGTCCATTCAGTTTCTGGACTGGAAGATCATCAGGTTTCTCAGACACTGCCACAGAAAGACCATCATGCAGCTAGTAATGTTAATATTTATTAAAATCTTAGACAAAAAAATTTGATCAACTGCAATTCTTGGAGTAGCAAATATGTGATTTATAGTAAATGTGACCCACTCCCAACAGAAGCCAGCTTTGGTAATTTAAATTCATTACATACTATTGACACTTTTATTAATTTTCTCACATTTTCTAACACAAGACTGTTAAAATCCAAAGCATTCTGAGAATATTTGTTATTCCTAATTTCATTACCATTTCTGAAGGAGATTAATGAAAATGTTATACCATTCAAGAGCAGAAGTCCTTAATCTAGAGTACCATACAACAGTCGGTACCACAATCTTACCTCTGAAGTTCCTAAAACATACAATACGTAATTCCTATAGAGGCAAGAGTCAACCATCTAGAAAAAAATAAATGGGTAAATAACTAGGGCAAGTAGTTCCCAGAGTTCCTTACCAAATTTAGATAGAAT